AGGATGTAGGGTTGAGGGTTCAGGTCAATAGGGTACGAAACAGCAGCGAGTCTAGGGTTGTAGTTGGTGAAAGGGTTTACAGGGTTACCTGTACTTGTAACCATGAGAGAGTACAGGATATTACCTGGTCATAATTTGCGGTTTTCCCTACCTAGGCCTAAGTTTTCCAAAGGTCTTAGGGTACCTAAGACTATGAGCCGCGGAACTACAAGGGGTGCCGCGCACCTCCGTGGGTCCGAAACTTTGAGTTTTGGACTTTTACGTTCGACTGCTCGTCCCAACGTTGCACAGTACCAGGAATAATTGCATGCGCCAGGGATAGAATCTAAAACAGAACATGCCTTATATGTTTGTGTGTGTACGCATGCCTCAAGCATGCATAAATGGATGTACGTATGTACGGGGGATCTCCCTTAGAGTGGATCTGATCCTGTACAAGCTCCCTTAGAGAGGATCTGTACAAGCATTATTCCCTATGATGATACATCTATATTCCTTGCCTCCCCTCCGTCTGAAGCACCCTTAACCCGAAGGTCATTCTAGTAGTCTCCATTTTCTGTACGAAATCCTTTCATGATTATACAGCAGTAGGTAGGGCCTAAACTCAAACCCCTATACCCTGAGCCAAATACCCTGAAACCTTTAAACCCTTAACCTTATATAGACCAAACCCAAAACCTTGAAGCCTAANNNCTAAACCCAAAACCCCAAGCCCTGAACCCTGAAATTTCAGCCTTAAATCCTAAACCTTAAATCCCAAACCCTAAACCGTAACCCCTAAATCCCAAAACCCTAAACTCAGACCTCTCGACTGGCCTTATGAAGCTCCTGAGCCTGCACCACGGCCTTACGGATCGTGGAGGCATCCTGGCAAAGCTTACGTAACCTTTAGGGTTTAGGGTTTAAGGTTTCGGTTTTCGGATGAACCCCAAATCTTAACCCCTAAATCCTAAACCCTATAAGCCCTAGTGCCTAAACCCTAAAACGTAAATCCTGAACCCTGAACCCTAATTTTTTCCTGTCAAGCCGTCCAACGCGATGCCAAATTTAAGGGCCCGGGCTTCATTCAGATTGAGCCTTGAAGGTTTGGGGTTCTAGGTGCACATTACCTTGAAAGCTAAACCCTAAATCGCTTGTACGGGGTTTGGGCTTTACAGGGTTTTGGGTTTGATTATAAGGTGACGAACTTTGGACGGGGTATAGTGACTCCTAAATCGCCCATACTACTACCTGCGTGCCCTGCAGCAGCTTCCAAAGATCGCGGCCTCCATCATTGCTTGCACACGCAGCTCATCAGTGAAGATTCCGCACGGCACCTGTAGGAAGCTTCATGAGGTTTTGGAATTCGGAAGGAGCCCTAACCCCACTTCCATGTATGATAATAACATCTACACCAGTTGTGTGGACATTTTAGTTAACTCTACTCTACTCTATATGCTTGCTCACAGAACCACATTAGAAGCAAGCTATGCAGTTCGTGTATTTCTACTACGTACTTAGGCAGGTTGCTGCCAAAAATTGTCCCTCCAAGGTCTGTGTGTCCCTAGCCTAGCATAGTTTCCGTTGGCCCCGTTGGCCCACGTGGACCGCTCAGAATGAGAGAATGCGGGAACTTTTCGCGGCGAACGATGTCAAACTTTTACATTCCTACTTCAAAACATCTGATGATCAATAATCTGATGTTACTACACCCTCATATATACCCAATATATACCCTATCGTAACCCCAAGATATACCCCTATGCTCTAAAACCCACATGTAATGGCATCCCTAAACTCTAAACCCTTAACCCTAAGCCCTAAACCCTAAACCCCAAACCCTAGTTCATTATTGGCCCTAACTTGACAGCATCTCACAGACTATTGAGGAGCTTGAGAAAACTGAGCTGCTAATGGCTCGCGTGCACGTGTCCTGGGGTCTAGGGCTTCCAGATGTAAGGTTTACTGTTTAAGGTTTTCGGGTTTAGGGTTTTAGGGTTTAGTGGGTTTCCTACGAAACTGCCCAGCCAAAATTCCCTCCTGAGCTGCAGTCAAGGTTGGAGTTTAGCGTGTCAATGCGTCTTCAAGAGTTGAAAGCCTAGGTCTTACAGGATGCGGGGGATCTTATTGATCATATCTTTAGCAATCAGTTCTACATTTCTGGTCAGAGCGTTGTATCCATCCAAACTTGCGATTTTAGCTATGAAGTTCCTCGTCCCCCCTTCTTGAGCATCCCCCCAAAAAAAAGGTGGCGTAGAATAACGCCTAAACCCTAAACCCCAAAGTTCCTACAAGGAATCACGGGAGCCAACATCAAGGTGGAGCGTGCTTCATATTGTGCATAGATAATGAGAACAAACATCAAAAATGTGTCAGAGTAAAGTAACGGTAATACTCAGAATACTAGCAATAGCAATCGTCATAGTAGGAGTAATACATGTAATGCTAGCAGAAGCAATAATAAAAGTAGCAGCAAGAGGAAGAACATCAGCTATAGTACAATGCGAACACGCAATAAGGTTGCAGCCAGATGCACGTACAACATGCTTTGCAGGACTCAGGGCACCCAACCTATGCGAATATGCTGCCTGTGACATTGTAGGTGAACGAGATTCCACATAACCCTCCATACCTACCTAATTTTGCTGAATTCAGCAGCATTATGCAGGACTTTGTCCACTGGCAGTACCTAATCATACTTGATGTCGACACGAAAAAAATCCTGCATGATGCTGGTATACTACAGGGAAGTAATTCCCAAAGTGTTCGGCACGTAGGGTGATGCAGGAGCTTCAGCATTAACGCTAAAAGCTCCTTGAGATACCAATGTCCATTTCATGTTCCTTTCTCTTTCCCATTAGCCAATAGTATTACTCACTGTAGCCACCGCAGTAAAGTAGCACCTAAACCCTACTTCCTAAATCCTAAAACCATTAATCCTCAACCCTAAACCCTATAAATCCTCAACCCTAAACCCTAAATCCTCAACCTTAAACCCTTAATCCACAACCCTAAACCCTCAACCCTAAATCCTCAACGCTAAACTCTAAATCCTCAACCCCTAGGCTGTGCTCACCTGGCAGTGGAAGCGGAGACCTGCTGGGACGAGCGCAGCAGTGGGACGGACTGCCTGCAGAGGCTAGGATTGTGGGTAAGGCTCAATGGGGTTGAGGGTGTAGGGTTTTAGCTGAGGGTTTATCGCCGTTTAGGCTTTAGGCTTCAGGGTGAACCCCATATGAGCCATAGCTAAACTCCTAGTCTCCCTAACCCCTATAATACGCCCATATACAATCCCCTAAATAGCCCCCTTAAGGGAGTTTTGACAATAGGTTATATAAGCATATTATAGGGCTTACAGGGGCTACAGGCTTCGTAGAGTTCATGAGATTTATAGCCATTATGGGGTTTTGAAGGTGTATAGGGGTTATAGGGTGCATAGGGGTTAAAGGGTTGGAAGAGGCTATAGGGTTCATAGAACTCATAGGGTTTATATCAGTTATAGGATTGAGAGAGTTTATAGGGGTTACAACAGGGATATTAGTCATGGAAACCCACACGGAAAGCACAATGGCAACTTAAATGGCAACTGGGCTATAAGGTAACATAACAGGGGCTATAGAGTCCTAAAACCTAAACCCTAAATTCTGGAGTCTCTCCTAAATCCGAATCCCTTGACCCTAGATCCTGATCCCTAAACCCTAAATCCTAAACCCTAAATCCTAATCCCTAAGCCCTAAATCCTAATCCCTAAACCCTAAGTCCTAACCCCTAAGCCCTAAACACTAGATCAAGAGACCCTTTGTCCTGCAACTCTGGCAGGACCAAAAGGCACGGCAGTTTTTCCCTCTAGCGCCAGAAGCAGTTGGTGCGCCGCTGCTGCCTCCATCATTTAGGGTTTAGGTTTTAGGGTGTAGGGTTTAGGGTTTGGGTGTAGGGTTTAGGGTTTGGGGTTTAGGGTATAGAGTTCAGGGTAGAAAGTTTAGGGGCTTCAGAGGTGAGATATAGTCTAAACTCCTTGTAGCCCCCCAATTGCAATGGGAGGTGCCCCCTGTGTAATCCCCTATATAACCCTTTTAAGGCGTTTAGACTACAGGGTTTGGGGCTTGGGGCTTTAGATGTGTAGAGCTTAAGCTTTAGGACTTGGAGGGCAAGGATCGTAATTTGTAGCCCAATTGTACTTTAGGGCTTAATGTCCTGGGGCAAGTATGATCGTTGAACCCAAGTAGATTAAAAGTTTGAACCAAGCTAGAACCATCACCAAGAGAACTGGCTAAACCCTAAACCCTTGATTTATTTGTCAAAATATGAAAGGGTCGTAGTTTCCCTTTCCCGCCAAGAACGCCATATGCATCCAAATGACTTCAAATTTTCACAGAATGGGTCACTTGTATAGAGACATGAGATTACAGAAGAGTTGCGCAGTCCTTGTCGAGGATTTTCAGATAATTCCCATAAGCTGCTGCTAATAGATATGCATGCGAATTCTTGCACAGTGATGAGAAGGGAACTGTAAAAAAAAGTAGGTAAAGGAAGGTGATCATTTGGGGGACCCGCAAAAATCGTAGGAAATGGGGGGGGCTACGTTAGGATCCTAGAGGGATCACCCTAAGCAGTTTAGGTTTGAGCCCGGAACCCTGCATAATCCCTAGTCCCTATACTTTCCATGTTCTTTTTCATTGTCCCTATTAAACCCCTGTAAACGCAACCCTAAACCCATCCTAGGCTTTCTTGCTGCTGATGGGATGCTTATCTTCAACTTTCAATCGAAGCATCCCTAGCGGCTTAGGTTTTAGGGATTAGGGTTTAGCATTTAGGGTTTAGGGTTTAGGGGTTAGGATTTAGGGATTAGGGTTTAGGGTGTAGCATGTAGGGTTTAGAGTTTAGGGATTAGGATTTAGGGATTAGGGTTTGGGGTCTAGGGTGTGGGATTTAGGGTTTAGGGATTAGGGAAGGGTTTAAGGATTAGGGCTTACTGTAGGATTTAGCGTGCAGCACGACCATGAGCTGCGCTTCTTACCATAGGATCTTGAGAGGGACCTTTGTTGCTTGAGAATCCGTCATCAGTATTGAAATGTGTAAATTAAGATCCTGTGTAGGATCTTCTCAAAACAACCCCATAGAATTCCCCGCGGTGACCCTGTAAGCCCCATATAACCAGGATATGGTCCCCGAAGGTCCACTATGTCAAGAAACCTTCAGATCTCATTTTGGTGGCAAAGGTGCTGGCATCCACTCGAGCACGTGCCGACAGAACCGCTGCTGCCCACTGTGCCTCCGCTGCGTCCGCTACCGGTCCCCCCTGTACGCTCCTAATAACAAGATCCCCCGTATAGGTGCGCCCGGAGAAGAACAACTGAAACATTCATTAGCGCTCGGAAAGTTCAGCAGAGGCTGCTGGGCAAATCCTTCACTGATGTGAATGCCAGCAGTACAACACATGATTTCAGCAGTAGCGCCTGGAGTCCCGCTTTCGCATCCTGCCCCCTACCTAGACTTACTTGGGTTAGTAGGGTTTAACGGAATATATTATAAAAGGGATTAGGGGAAGGGGAGTATGTAAAGGCGGTTGGGTTTGTTCAGGTCAACTATGGTGTGGAATCGCATGCCTTCCGGGGCTCAATTGTTCCTTGCTCTCCCCTGCAAGTCTCTCATTCCGAAAAAGACAAGCCCCTTAGGCGCTTCCAAAGTTTGCCATGGCACTGCAAGCTCCAGCATGCTCAAGACAGCTTCCTCCACTTCTTGCTTCAGCTCCTTCTCCCCGGCTGCAGCCTGCATAAAGTGCGACGAAAACAAGTAACGCCAGAAATGCCGGCCAGCAACGAGACGAGTAGAAGTAACTCCGACAACAGCACCCATCGCGAGACAGCAAATAGTGGTCACAACAGCAGCAACAACAACCAATAACATCAACAGCAATACCAACAGCAGCGACAGCACCACCACTACCATCAGCGGCACCAGCAGCAGCACAAGCGGCACCAGCAACAACACCAACCGGACAAAAAGAAGAACACTGGCAGGGAGCAGTGGTGAGAATTGCAGCGACTTAAGCAGCGTTGCAAGAAATCACCCGTATGTGTTTCACCCTTTAGTTTAACTTCTCTGGGCATTGCCAGCGGCCCGACTACACTTAGCTGGAGTGACTGCGCGCCCGTGGTGAGCTGATTATCTGCCCATGTCTGATGCTTAGTCTGAGGATTGCAAGCTGGAAAATGCCTCCAGCATGTCCTGCATGGCACGAAGAAAAGGCAGCGGTAGTTGAACGGGAGCCTGAGCAAAGCAGTTGAGGCTGGTCGCTTTCGGAGTTAAGAGAAAAGCTTTTTGAGACATATCTGTGCAGGAAAGCGGCAGCTGTGGCGAGCGGGGTCGGCTTTTGTCTTTCCAGTCGCGCGTCTGGAGAGAAAGTTGACTGTGCGAGAGCACCAGGCCGCCCTGAGAGGCTCCTCCACAGCCGCCGACGGATTGCAGCTGCGGAAGCGGCGGGATCTGCGTTCGCGCTGGCAAGCTCATGAGCTCGGAGCAGCTGCCAGCTTTCTGCCTGAAGGCGCGTAGCAATCTGGCTCGCCCAGGTCTCTCGGGAAGCAGCTCCAAACTCCATCAACGAGGATGCTGCTGTAAAGGCAGCCTGCTCCAGCTCGTAGATATCTGTTGCTTCCCAGCGCCTACGGGAAGAAGTGGCCTTCCCAACGGGCCCTGCAGCGCCTCCCGCGCTGGGAGTGCGCGCTGGGCTCGGGCTCGCTCGGCGCCCCGGTGGCTTCGGAGCTGTCTCCGCATCGAGCAGCATGGCCTCCTCAGCCAGCTCGGCTTCGGCAGCCGCGGCGCCATCTACGAGGGCTTGCTCCAAGGCATGTGGGGATGCTGCGCTCTGCGCCAGGGCTCCGTAGAGGGCGCGCTCAAGACCAGCATGCCCGGCGCGAACTGCTTGTTCCAGTCTGCGGTGCCGCTGAAGTGCCATGCACAACTCCTGCTTGAGGCAGCGGATCCGTTGCTGTTCATGGCTTTCCCGCTCAAGCTCTGCAAAGAGTGCAGGGGCCCAGGGACCACCGCCATCCTCTTCGAGCAGCTGGCGAAGGCGGTCATTTTCCGCACTTAACCGGACAATCTCAGCATCAAGCTCTGCTGCATCGCTAGGGGCGCTAGGACTTTGGCGAGCAGGAGGCGTTGAAGCTGTAACCACATCAGAACGCAGATCTCTGCTGCTAGATGGTCGACGCTCAGGTACGGAATCGGTTGGACTTTGGGATGCGGGTAGCTTCCCTGCTGGAGGCACTTGAGAGCGCATGTCAGGTCTGGCATTGAGCCGTGTTTTGTCCACATCAGTTGGACGCTGGCGAACTGAGCTTTCTGAGGCTGCAGTTGCCTGTCCACGCAAGTCAGCTCGTCCAATCGAATGCCCCCTGGTCGCTGCGTTGGTCTGATGCTGGCAAGCAGAGCGCGACGGGGCTGCAGGCACATCAGCGCGCAATTCGCTCCTGCTGTTCACTCGCCTGTTCTCGCAGCGGTTGATGCTGACTCTGTCGGCACCTGCATGGGTGCGCTTAAGGAGAAATGCTGTTAAGAATCTGTGCTCATTGGCAAGCAGCAAGCCAATGAATATCTTCCTGGAACGTCTAGCTAACCTTGCCAAACATTTTCTTACCCGATGCCCAAGGAGAGCCGCTGTGCCCGCACATCCCTAGATTTCTGTAGTAACCTGGTAGGTTCACTCCTCTCTGAAATGACAAGATTGTCCCTTGTTGAATCATAGCTCCATTTTCTTGGCAGGTTTAATGTAACGACAGCTGAAATTCATTTCCCAAAATGACACCGTTAAGGGCCAAGATACTGGAAGGCTTTCCTGCTGCTCTGAGGCCATTGCTTGAGCTGGACCGAGGTCTCTGAGTCAACGGCGAAGGCATCCGGCAACCGGCACCATCCAGAACCGGACCAAGCGGAATGTGAGGGGCAGGAGTTAGGGACCCCTTCTGGCGGGTACCTAGAATCAGGACTGGAGCCTATGCGGGGCATGTAAGGGGGACCCCTTTTCCTCCAACAAAAACAATGTGGTGGAAGGTGGTAATAATAGATACGAGGGTATAGCAACAAGTGGTAGGAATTGAAAATGGGAATGGTAGGTTGGAGGTTTCCTAAAACCTTTTTTGGGCACATCATGAGGGTTATAGTATTTAGCGGTCCCCTTACTTATGGAAACTTCCATAGCAGCAACAGCGAAATGATCTTAAGAGAGCTGGCAGGAGTTGGGCGTGATGGTCTTCAACCAAACAGGACCATGAATACAGCGGTTACCGTGAGTGGACGCATTGAAGGAATGTGATCAAGTTCCATAGTTTCTGCCTGCTTTTGCATAGTGATGGCCAGAATTTCCTTCCTTTCTCCCTGCATGTACAGCGCTGCTAGAGCCGTCAGACACGGACATGAACAGTCGTTTTCAAAGCTGCAGCTCTGTTGTCTCTTTCTCGCTCCCAGCCCTGGCAATGAATGATGGTCGAGGTCATTCCTCAAAGCACCAAGAATGATGCAGAAATTGCCCTAGTTGAGGTCGATGCGTCATCCCAGTCAGAAGAAAAGGGCCCTCTTGCAAATTTGGCTCAGGGAGAACTGCCGCTTGAAACTGCGTAGCTGAAGCTGATCTGTATGCTTATCAACGATAACAACGCTCGGCAATCATGAAACTGACGCGGAGCAGCTGCGAATGGCAGCGAGTGCAAAGGTGAGTTCTGAGTCATGGTAAGAACGATGAGTACTCCCATTGATTAGCTATGGAGCGACGTGGAACTTCTTCCTCAAAGGCTATTTTTGGGGACTCTCTAGGGGTCCAAGCACCCAATAACCACATACTTGCCCAAAAGCTATATGGCGACTACTATTACCCAAAACCCAAGTACTTGATCACTGGGCACTTGGACGCTTAGGGTATTGTAAGGCGCTATCAAAGTAGTAGCGTATACGAAGGTAATGTCTATGCTTCCAAATGACTGGAAATTGTCTTTAGTCTGGCAGATAATTTCTCCTTGGTTTAGGGCTTATCGGTTTGTGGTTTAGGGTTTAATGAATATTATACACAAAAAGGGATGTAATCTTGCTCTCTAGTAGTGACTATACTATCCCAATTTGAATACCACTCACGTGATCTACAGTCCATCTTCCTAGCTAATTAATTAATGGACATGGGTTATCCGGTTAGGGAATATACTTGGGACTATATAAAAACTACCAAACGGACACCATGTCCACCCCTAATGGTCCCTTGGTAACCCTAAACCTAATCCCCCTAACCTAAACTCCCGAACCCTTAAACGCTGAACCCTAAACCGCCTAAACCCCTAGCCACACTGGCTTCTTGGTAACCCGAATCTGGACAGTAGCTCATATGACATCAGACAAACTCTCGGGCTGCCTGCATGGAGAGCCGGCGCGTAACTGAAGAGAGCATCTTCTGTCAGGGGTCCTGTTCAGGGTTTGGGTCCTTTGGTTTCGGGTGTGATAGGATTAGTGTAAAGTAGTAATATGGGGCCCGAATACTTAGAATAGGATTGAGGGGTTAGGGCCCTGATATGGCCTAATCCAGCGCAAGAGCGTAGAACGAACGCAAAAGAAAATGGAAACAATCAAACCCCTAAACCCTAAATAGTAGTTTCAATTTTCTTGTCCATTATCCTAATATTACCCCTATGTATATATCTATATATTACCCAAATATGACTATATATTGCCCTAGCATATATTACACCAATCCATCTATCTACCTATATACCTCTCTTTGCTACCCTTGCATGCCGATTCCGGCATGGAGCAGAGAAGTCCTGAAGTGGTCGAGAGCTGCTCAGATCTGATGGCTTGAGCCAATGAGCTTTCTGAGTTTTGAGTAGGGTTTAGGGCTTAGGGTTTGAGTTCTGAGGGCTACCAGCTTAAGGGAGCATGTTGCCCGTGTTGGACACCATGTCGCGTCAGGTCTGGGTTATCTGTGGATTGGCTTTGGGCACGCATGATAGGCAATGTACTCCCATAAGGACCTTGCCGCATAAAGAACGTCTCATGCACTAATCCATCTCACATCTGCACTTGCTTTGCTAAGCGATCCTATTTTTTCCATCCCTGAAGCGAGCGCAGTTTTTTCGGTGCTAAATCGAGGGTCCCGGGTCTCGTGGCGAAGCTGTCGGTAGTCATCTCTGCCCGACAACAGCCACTGTTGACCGGACTCACTCAAAAACGTCTGCTGTGCCTGGCCTTCAAGCTAGGCTGCTGAGAACGCTGTGGAGATGTGCGGTCAGTCTCCCTAAGGGTCCAAGGGCCCAAATAATAGGACTTTCGGGCTCAGATACCATTACTATTGTAGTATTTGGGCCCTAAAGCCCTATTTGCGTCCTCGGACCCTTAGGGTCTGTGTGGGGTGCGTTGAAACTCTGTGAAGGCCACTGCGACCTGTTTCAAATAATGCCAGGTCAATCCCGACTCTCTGACTCCGAGGTTCCACCTTCTGCCGATACCATTGCGAAAGAGCGCATCAACTCTATAATCCCCCTGAAGTAGATAGAATATCGGGTATATGGGGATCTTATATTGATATTGGGAAATTCCATATTCTATCTACTTAAAGGGGGTTTTACACTCTAGAACTGCCTCAACTTATTGGTGGTTAGTCTGGAATAAAGGAACATCCTTATTCCCTACTGAGCCCCCGTACCTTAAGTCTAGCAATCGAATCCCCGTCAGCAGAAGGTCGTCAACTATGCACAGGAAAACGGCAATGATGCCGACTTAGTCTAGAGAATCTGGAATCCGTCACACAGCTCCGTGGCCTGCAGGGGTTTAGGGCTGAGGGTTCAGGATGTAGGGTGTAGGGCTGGCAAATGGGAAAGCAAACTTGAGGAACTTGATGCACCATTCGCACTAAATCTACCACAACGTGCACAGCTTTGACCGTGGTGCCAGCACAAAGGGCGTCTCTGTCGACCTTGACAAATTTCAAACGGCTCTTCTGCCATTGCTCGTTCTTCTTATTCTTCATCGTGGTCTTCTTCTTCTTCTTCGCTTGTACTACTCTTCCTCCCCCTGCTGCTGCTATACTGCTGCTGGCTTTTGTCAAAGCCACTGCGACCACAACGAGGGTTTCGGCTTAGGCGTCTACATGAAACTAGGTTGCTACTGCCGAATATACCTGAAGTTTTCATAATACTGATAGGTGGCAAACATACGGTTCCTTACAACAATAACTCAATTACTAAGTTCCTCAACAGCGACAACATAAACCTTAATTCAATGCGAATGGCCCAAGCACCCAAAGTTCAGGGTTTCAATCACCAACACCCTCTCGGTTTTTTGGGTACATGTGACCTGAAACATTGTTTTTTTTTTAATGTTTTTTTGGGGTACGTGGCCCGTCTGGGCAAGTTAAAGCCTAAACCCTAAACATCTAACCCCTAACCCCTAAGAGAGGGCCTTGCGAAGCTGCTTGCATAGGCAGTCCTTGGAAGAATAGCGGGGCATCTGCAGCATGTTGGCACCTGGGCCCAGATGCAATGAGGGTTTGGGGATCTTCCCTAGGGGGGAAGCTGGAGAATCTCAAGGGTTGCCCGAATTTTGAGAAAGCCCCGGATGAAATTGGGGCTCAGGGTGTAGGAGTTGGGCATTTCCAGAATGAGGGCTTCCCTTTCTATGCCGCTCAAATACGATGTGTCGTGCGTCTTTTGGGTCGGACATCCAGAAAGCGCGCGTTTCATATGGTTTCTGAATACAACAGTGCATGGGGAGACTTTGGCCCTCCTTCTGATCCTGTAACAATCGTCTTGAGGATCTCATACGAGGGATTATCAAAATCATTGATCTCATACGAGGGATTATCAAAATCATGGGTTCACTTTGGGCCTATGTATGGACCTTAGATCCGTGATCACACTAGGACCGGCAATGCAGCAAGACGATGTGGAAAGAGGTTATGGCTGCGTATGGATTACACAGACAGGCTCGCCCCCGTGTGAGTAGCGTTTTTTGGTGGTTGAGCCTAGTAAGATTATATTGCTTATATGAAATACTATACCCAAGAGGGGGATATCATCTTACCCTATATTGGGTACCATGGTATCATTCTCGGACGTCAGTCCGTCATTTCAGTCAGCAGTCGAGCACTTTGGCTCCTCCAATAAAGTAAGCTAGAATGAAATTAGAATCGGCAGACAATGGTGTCGAGATCTCTGAGTATCTGCTGACACCCAGATACATACTACTCATGGTTGACCACCCACCTCCCTAAAATTCGACCACTCTCTTTCACGGCCCAAAACAAGCAACATGTAAATCCCGGGTCGTCTGTCAGATTTGAGGGTCCGCATATGAAAAGTTGCTAGCTTGCTCAAAAGCCCACTGCGAAGGGTCTATGGTGGGATCCTCCCTAGTTAGGGAAACAATCATACAAAAATGCATGCATATATATATATGTCTATATGGGTCTTTGCGCCACACCGCAGATTCCTTTTGCACACCTGGAGCCGAAGCTGTTGAACACAAGAGCCGAACGCGAAGGTGTCTGGAGCCCAAAAGGGCTGATTGATTTCTGGAGCAGGTAAGAATCAATCCAACTTTTTCCAGGAGTCCGTGGAACTTCCGACGCACAGACTCCAGTCCGAATGAGCATTCGCGGAGTTGTCTGCGGGTCAGAAAGGCCAACAACCGTCACGATATGTGTATGCACAAGTCCAAATAGGAGGAGATTGCACAGCTACTGAACATGGTGGTTGTTAGTAGGGAATGGCGGAATATAGCGGACATTCGTGTCTAGGTAGGTTTTCCATTCCTTCATTCATTCCCACTACTCGCCTCCTAAACCCTAAAGTCGCTTCCATTGTCTTTTCCATTCCCTGCTAGCAACCATCAAGTGAAGTCATCTGGCCCGTGTTGTGGATGGAATGGAATCGCAGAGTCCAGGCCCGGGCTGCAGCTTTCGAAGTAGGAGCCTGAACTCCAAAGAGTATCCTTCAGTTGTTTTTGGCTCGTGTAAGGTTTAAGGGCTTCGGGTTTGGGCTTGGGGTTGCGTTAAATACTTCAATTCTATCCTGCAAACCCTATGTTTTGGTTTCATTATAACCTAATGGCATCTATCAGCAACCCAGTATCTCGGTAGACTTGTCAGTTTTCTGGCATCTTCGAAGCGAAAACTCCCATGCACCACGGAGTAAGCACCAGTTGACTGAAAGATCAGCGCTTGGTCTTTGGTCAGTCCAGCTCTGTAGCGTACAGTTAGATTTTCCACCTCCTTCTGCGTCATGGAGGGAAGGTCCTTCCCTGCAACCATAGAGCCACCAAGCTCTAAAAATCCCAGGGCAAAGTCGGAGATTGGCTCATCAGCAAGGTTCAGCCACACATTGACCTGCACGCCGTCTTCCAAGCCAGCAGTGTTTTGCTTGTGGTCTATGTGAAAAGTCGTGTAATTCCTCTGCCAGTTCCGCGAAGGTTCATCCGTCCCTGCATACCGTGCCAAAATCTTGCCATGATGTGAAGCACTGTCTGTCGTCACCTCAACAGGGAACCCAAACTGGGATTGTAACTTCCCCTGCAGCCAGCGAGCAACATTGGCGCGGGCTTCAGCCGTGTCAACATCGCAGTCACCAACTTGATCGCGCAGCCCGGCACTTTTTAAGTACAAGGAGCGCGTCGCCTCTATCCTTGAATCTTGTTCTGGTGCGATAACACCCATGACGTTTAGTCTGCGATGGGTTCATGTAGACATTACACATGTAAAATATTGTTTAACAACAGCCCGGCATCCGCGGCAACAGGTCCTGGGCAGACTCCACTTGGATGCGGTGCTCCGCAAAGTTAGGGCCATTGTCGAATTCCTGTACCTTTACGGAAGCACGCAGCTTCCGCGAGAAGCAGTCTACAGTGATCCTGGCCCAATCCTCATCACAACCTGGTAGTTTCCAGAAAGAAAGGGACCCCAACATAGACCCCAACGCACCACAATCCTTATGATGGGGACCCCAACGAGGGACCCCTAGTTTGCAGAACCCCACATTGAACCCTATATGACCCTGTAGACCCCTTTTCAAGCCCCTGAGAGGTACCCCATCTTTTCAAAAACCCCCACCTGGAAGTTCTGTATCGCCAGTCCGTGCATTGCTGGTATTGGGGCAGCAGGAGCTTTCCGCCGCGGACATCTGTATCTACCACTACTACTCTAGGGTTTAAGGCATTACGATTGCTACTGGATTGTGAACAGAACAGCACATCATGAAACTAATGGCGCCAATACTGGTCTACTGACGAGTGTTTACGGCGGCATCCAATACGATAAGAAAGCGTTTGTAGTGAAGTGCCCTTGCAGGAAAGGAATGCAGAAACCAGAATGATCATCAATATCATCTCGAGGTCGATTTGAGGTGCGGTACACCTTTCGTCATACAAAAATCTAAGCCCTTAATCTTGGTAGCTATTTAGGTCCCTACAGCACAGCACATAACATTTCAGACTGCTTGAGCGGCGTTCAACTAGGCCTGACTTTGGGGAGGACGGCCTGTTGAAAAGGGGGTCCTTCGGGACCCTTCTAGGGATACATGAGGGTTACAAGGAGATTCTGAATCTTTATCGCAAGGACTGTGACAAGTAGCGTTTTCAAAAACTCCCGCCTGTAAGCCTGAAGGTTCTGGGAGAAGCCTACACTGATCTGCAGCGGTCAAGTCATTGCAGTCACTGCATTAGGTCTCTTAACCCTAGACCCTAAACTGAAGGCCTGACACCCTAAATGCTGGTAGGTGCCAAGTTCCTATCCAGCCAGACAAGGATCGGTTGCTATCCCGGCTTTCACAGAAACCCAATCCGCGGCCTACATAGACACGTGGGCTATGATTTGGGTACTGCCCCCACCCAGTAACAGTCTATATTAGGGGTCCTATTAAGGGCTATATATAACCATAGTATAATTGTTATCCAACTGCTACTGAGGGGGGGCAGTACCCAAGCTATGGTCCTTTTTGATCAGCACCCGGGCGGCCAGATGCAAGGTCTGTGCTAGGGTTCATGACCGGCTTGTACATCATGTAGACCCCTTATTAGTAACCTCCCCTCCTTAAAAAGGATTATAATAGGAATCTCAATCCTAAGGCCCTGAAAAGGAAGGGGGGTTATTAATCAGGGGTCTACATCAACAGTCATGTTCGGCTGCTGTTTAATTAGCCTTCCACTACGACTAGCTATTGGCTCCCTCAGTATGGAAAAGAAGAAACCTCAAAAAGTATAAAGTCTTACAGCTGTGCAAAGTCCCACGTAATGAATCAGGAAGCTCCCTAAACCCCAAACCCTAAACCAAGTCCCACTTAATGAATCAGGAAGCTAGGCCCGGAAGAGAACGAGTGTTCACGTGAAGAACGGAAGGCTGCGCTGAGCACCAGGCCCACGGAGGCGGCTACACGCAAGGCGTGACGCCGTTGATATCACATAATAGGTATATCTTGGGGAGATATATAAGGATAATGGAAAAGAAAATGGAAACAGGATTTAAGGTTTAGGGCTTGATTCCTCTATATGAGCTATAGTCTAAACTCCTAGTATCCCCCTTAGTAACCCCTGTAATAGTCCCCTATATAATCCACTATGTAACCCATTTTTAAGGAGTTTGGGCAACAGCTCACACTCAGCTCCATTCACATCGCGGGACCCCAACCCCCGACTGAAACAAGAACCAAGGATGAACCGAAGAAGGCTTCAGAAGCTCCAAGAACTCAGGGCCCAATATAGCTTAATTAAAGACTATAACCTAAATCATGTTAAGGGACCCAAGGGTTTAGGGTTCAGTGTTTAGGGTGGGACCTAATTTTTGAAATAATTTGAGGTATATTCCTTGTAGTTAAGCTATGTTGGGCTCTCCGAAACCCTAAACCCTAAACCCTAAACCCTAAACGGAACTTCTAGGCTCCTGACATGTCATGGCGCGGGGGAGCGACTCATCCTGGCCATCTGCGGGCTGCACCTTCACCGGGAGAGCAACGGCTTGCTGGTTGTATTATAGGGTTTAGGGTTTAGGGTTTAGGGTTTAGGGTAGGGGGTTGTAGGGACTAAGGGAATCTATTATATGGGGATGATGGTGATTAAATGTGGTCTATAAAATTTGTAGGGAATAAGGGAGTATATTGAATGGGGATGATATTCCCTTCTTCGCTACTAAGAACCAGTCAAGCGGATCAACGTGTGAGGGCACTAAAACCCCGGCATAGAAGAAAACACTGTCTCGGGGATTCTCTTTTCCCCAAGAAATGAGCTCGAGAAGGGCGGTTCGTCACTTGCGGGGTTTGGGGTGGGCTTCAGGCTTTCATGGAATAGGGCTTAAACCCTAAACCGGGTTTAGGGTTTAAAGTTTGGAATACAAGCCAGGACCTTCCTTGTACCCTTAATTGGGGATATATGGTCCCTAATAGTGGGTACTTAGGCTCTAATAGAGGGTAGGAGGAGGGTCTAGGAGCATGAATTGCGTGTGTCAAGCATTTTTGAAGAAAACAACTTCGCCAAAGATATCCACATCTAGCACCCTAAACCCTAAAAGCGATCAGCGTGCCCAGGAAGATCAGTACCCATACCCGCCGACGAGGTTGTCGGTGGGGCTCGGGAAACTTCTGCATCTGCTTTGCGGGTTTTGGGGGTGCATAGGGCTAGAGGATTTAGGGCTTACAGGGTTTTAACCTGAACGCTACACCCTGAACCCTAAACCCTAAAAGGTTTAGGGTCTGGGTTGAGAATTGCTTTTCAGATAGGTTCCATTCGCTTGGCGATTTTGGGAGGGCCCCAGTCACAGTAAGACGCAAACCCAATGTACCCCTACAGAATCATAGCTTCCATGTCGTTTTGTATATGATTTCGCATTTCATTCTTGATTTGTCCGACGATTCAGACCCCTAAGCCCTAAACCCTTACACTGACTTTTTCGAGCCCGCCCAGGCCTCGAAAGACTGAATTCCAACGTAGCCGATGCGATGGACACCTTGGTTGACTGGATGGCAGAGGTAAGGTTTAGGGTTTAGGGTGGGATAATGGACAAGAAAATGAAAACTACTATAATGAGAAGAATCAAATGGAAAAAACATGGAAAATGAAATGGAAACTGTGATTATACAGGGGTCCCCTTAAGTAGGTAGAATATTAGGGTTATATTGGTGTTATGTAGGATAATGGAAAGAAATATGAAACTCCTGTTCAGGGTTTAGGGTTTATAGTCCCCCTTGAGTTTAAGTAGATAGAATAGGGCTTTGAGTATACTGAAAAAAGATCCCCAAATACCTCATATTCTATCTACTTAAGGGGGACTACAGGCTGGCGCATGCACAGGCCATCTACACATGCGAATGCTGTTCTAAATTACAGTATCGGTGCTTGAGCCCCTTACGCCGTCTTGCAAGTGCGGGGTTGGGGTACATTCCTAGCCTTGCATAACATACATGAAATGGTGGGGTTTAGGGTTTAGGGTTCTACCGACTGGGACTGATCGCTTAATGACTTCTTGCGCCTGCTCTTGTGCCATCTTGCCCCGGGCGGCGCTTGTCAAGCCCGGTCTAGGATCACAATGCCGCCCGGTCAAAACCCTAAACCCTACACGCTACACCCTAAAAAGTAATTCCCTCTTCATTTTTCATTATCCCTATATAACCCCAATATAACCCCTAAACCTTAAATAGTAGTTTCCATTTCATTCTGCATTATCCCTACATAACCGTATATAACCCCAATATAACCCCTAGAGTTAAGGATGTTAAATTTTAGAATGGAATCCATATTTTGGGTTTCGGATGCTCGCCTTCCATGCTGCCACTGTGTGAAATTCCTGACAGCCTGGGCAACTTTGGGAGTCTATAGTCCCCCTTAGGTTAGATACAATATGAGGTATAGGCATACGGTATAGGGTTTAGGGGCTTAGAATATATATATATATATATAGGTAGAGAAGGTTTAGGATTTAGGGGGTGGGGGCTTAGGGTTTCGGGTTTGGGGCCATGAATCTAATTCATGGATTTACTCCCCCGTGATGATCAACCCCGACCCCGTCATAATCAATATTCCCGACATACCCCCATCATACGGGTTCCCAAAATTGGCCCATGTTGGTACCCCTACAAATATTTAGGTGCTATAATCTATAACCAGAAGGGCCCATAATGTTGTGAACAACCCATACAATAGAATGGAGGAAAACGTTGATCATCGGCTGAGTGGTGGCTGCCTTAAGAGGGGGAGAGGGGGAATCCCTGCGTGAGAAGCGCAGTCATCATCCTCACTGGTTTTTAGTCAAGGGATGAAGGAATGTAAAGGAAAATGAAACTAACTAGTACAGCCAGGGGCATTTTACTCTAAACCCTAAACCCTAAGCCCCAAACCCTGAACTACAGGGATCCGAGGCTCCATTCCCTCCGAAGCAAGACCCTGGCCTGTGGTGAACTTCAAGACTTTCGAGCGGTAAGCCTCACAACTTTCAGCAAAAGCTGTTTCAGGTTTAGGGTTTAGGGTTTAGGTTTAGGCTTAGGGTCAACATTCTACGCTCGCGCAGCTGTGACGGTGAACGAAGACGTCTGTTCATTAAACAGTCTTGCAATATGAGTACGCAGCTGTTAGAGGAATGTTCTTCCCCCATCTGGATTCGGATGATATTATAGCCGTCTATTCTTGTTTCCCCGCTTCGGCCAAAGTGTAATTAAGATCCTGAGCCCGGAACGTTCAACTAACTACTGCTAGCCTTAAGAATCCTAGCTACATTACCAGAATTGCCAGGGCTGACGGTACTCGGAGCCATGCAGGAGTTTTATTATCAACGCTAGCAGCCTCCTTTGCAACCCCAATTTCCATTTCACGTTCCATTCAGTTTTCCATTTGATTCTCCATTATTGGGGTGCTACCCTACACCCTAAACCCTACCATTACTATGGTCATGCCGGATTGTAGGATCTACCGTCTGACTCAGTCTTTG